TACTCGACGGGCTTATCAGCTCTACGGCAAGCTTCTTCTACTTTTTGCACTTAATGTGAATGTGGACGTAGGTGTGAGTGTGGTTATGGGCCAGAATCGTACCCACAGTCAGGCCCCATAGCCACACCTGGTGCACCCAAACTACGGTGTTGGTATGGTCGTGGATCGGAGCCGCACTCAGCTTCAGACCATACAGCGACAACCGGCACACCCATACCCTCTTCTTCACGAAATTGTCATTCAAAATTTATTTGCCGCAATACTCCGAACGAAATGTGCGTCCATATTTGATCAGATTCTTTCATAATTGTCATTCAAAGTTTAGTTGATCTTCTTCTCTTTGTTTGCTTATTCAAAATAAAACACGGTCGAATGTGCGATCCCGCGCTTGAACAATGTGTCCTGATTATAAGAGAAGCCAGATGAATCGAGTTCATTTTAACAAACGGATATCATTTCGAATGTGAAGTCACAGAACCGATTGAGGATGATACAATTCAAAGGTTTCTCTCATAATCTCTATTCATTCACTATTTGAAAAGACTTGTTGTCGTGAAATTATCTTTGCTGTATTTATTTGTCGAACTAGTTTCACACGTGAGTGAACATCGATAATCTGTAGAAAACAGCGAATGAAACAAGTTACACATAAAAATTACAAACATGCCAACAGTTGAAAAAGAAACAAATTTCATTCGAGAACAAGCGACAAACGAGCAAATATATCGATGGCCATAATGACGAAAATTGGTCCAACTTCTTCTGCTGGCATCAACGAAACGAAGTCTCTTGATCGACAATTACAGTTGCAGGTCGATAGATTTTGCTGAAAAGTTCCACTAAATGACCCTATTCAAGAAACGTGAAGAGCTAAACAATAGAAAAGATAAATTGCCTATGACAATTTGCCTAGATCATAATTCTGTTAGACGATGGGCGAAATCGTCGAATCTGAGATGATCAAAATTTTGTGTCTAAAAATGGGGGTTTTATCATATAAACTCCGTGAATTTCATCATGCAAAAAGCAGTATTTTCAGAATGCGTCCTGTTTGTAATAGAAAATCAAAAATGTGCCAATCGAACTTAGAAACAACGGCACGCGAAGTCTGAGAAACACATTTTGTTCTCAACATGTCAATTCATCGTTAATGACGACTTTTCACAAGATCTCTTTCGTCTGGCAAAATCAATGTGCTCACACGCATCTTTTAGTTCATCGCAGCTTACTGGAGGACGTTTATGGCTCTTAATTCACTTGTGAGCCAAGATAATGTGCGCTATGTCGATCCTAATGAGCTTTCTATACCAGAAAGAGCTCGTGCCCCTTGCTTGTTTCTGCAGAGATATCAAACTTTGGCTGTATTTTTAGCACAGTCCCTTGATTTACATCAGGTCCTCAGAACATTGCATTTCGACTTGAAATTACGAAGTTTCGAGTCGGAATTCAAAATTCAATTTTCTCGTGCTCTGAGATGAATCAAGGGATTATGCTAAAAACACAGTCAAAGTTCAATATCTCCGCAGCAACAAGTAACATGGCACGGACTCTTTTTCGGGTATGCAGAGCTTATTAAGATCTGCATGACGCATATTATCCTGACTCAGAAGTGAAGGGACACCTGCGAATGTTCACTCATGATTGAGTTCAATGATGACGACTCGGTTCTTAAATCTCAGTAAATTGTTTGCATTCGATATCGTAGAATTTGCTGTTGAGATCGATTTTTTTCTATTCGATAAAGCCGTCCAAACGACAAATACTCAAGGATTCATGGTTTCCAAGAGCTCTAAGGCTTCCAAGAACATCGAAGGAATTAAGGACTCCAAGGATTTCACAAAGTCTCTAAAATCTTAGAATCCAGCCAGTGCTGAGAAATACGCAGTAAAATGAATGATAAGCCTAGCTTGCATGAAATACCGAGTTTAAATATTCTCATGCAGAATTCTAAAAGCAATGACTACGTGGAACGGTCGAAAAATTGATGGATTCTGAGGACTAGAAAATAGATTGACAGTGTGAACAAAAAAAATCGCATTTCTATAAATATTCGACCGCTTGACGTTGGAACTTTAGAGAGGTGCGAATTTGAACGAAAGAAGAAAACTAACGTTAGACACAGTTTCCGACCCCCCCCCCCCCTCCCGGCACACATTGTGCGGGCTTTTTTAAGATTAACTTGACTAAAGTAGTACATTGAGACCTGACTAGAATGTTGATCTTACGGCTTGATTCCCGATTGAATCGATGTAGACGAATCCTTGAGATTCAAAACCAAATTTTGAGTAAAGATACTTGGAAGCAGGATTGGTTGTGAACATTCGCACAATAATTTCTTTGTTGATCACTTGTCGAATGTGGTTATCAATATATTTAAGTAAGATCGTGCCAAGTCCTCGAGCACGGAAATCTCGGTGAACGTTGAATCCTCCGAACCAAACAGCTTCTTTCAAGTCAAGAGTCTTGTTCATATTTCGGTCATCGCTCACAAGTGAACATGTAGCGAGCACTTGTCTCGGATTGTTACGGTCGAACATGAAGAACGTATTCAGTAAATTGGTGGAATCGTTTTTTGCCAGTTCGTGATTATTTTGTATCCATTGCCAAAAATCATCACCGATCTCATCATCTTGTGCATCGGTCATCGACAAAATCCAGTTCTCTATAGACAAATATCGTTCCGAGTTCGTTTCGATAGATCTTAGTGTGACAATTTCGACATTGTCGCGTGAATAATGATGTGACATCTAAACAAGAATCGAATGTATTTATCGACTTTATACTAATAGAAGTAAAAACGAGTTCTTCAATCGGTGGCAAAGTGTTGATCTGCTTTTGCACGTGGATAGCTACGGAAGAAAAGGCATTCTCTCATAAACGTTGATAAACAGTTGTTTATCGTTGATATCTTTTCGCAATGATAAAACATCAAGGTTGACTTTTTAAATCTGACTAAACTAGCAACAACCGAGCGACAAAAGCGTCAACAAATGAGCTCGATAAAAAAACACTCAACGAGCTATGACTATTACTCTTTGGTTCAAATTCCAAATAGTATCAGACTGAAACGGGTTGTCGATCACTCTAATGGTATGCCACTTAAATACTGTCGATGATCGGCTCATCGCTGGTACTGGTTGCATCCATAGAAGGAAGGAAAGATGAGCATTCAAAATAAAACAGAAAATGATGATGACGAATAACGGGATTTTGCGATCGCTTCTATTCAGCTGATATATGTCGGTTTTTTTCAGTGTCGTATACAGGATTTTTCTTATGCCGAGCGAGAGTCAACCCCTCCCCTTCTTGTGGCCTATTACTGATAGCCAGGACTGTGATGAGATGGTCAAGATTTCACTGGAGGAGTGTAGAGGCGGGAGATGCTCATTTTTGTCGTATCAGAGCTGGTGCTAATTTTTGATGCACTCTAAGATGCGCAGCAATGTTGTCGTTTTCATCCGACTTTTACGCAAATATGTTTGACTTGGAAAAAGGCTCAACACATTCATTGAGAATTGGAAGACTTCGCGAAGCGAAAACCTTTTAAACATTTACAAAAACTTCAATTGTGCGCTGTATTATTTAATGAAAGAAAGTGCCTTTACATCTAATTTCGAAAAATGCGGGATACTTTGCCACCGAAGACAGTCATGCTGGTGACGAACTCAATGCTATGCTCCTCAACAAGAAAAAAGATGAAGTGCTTGAAAAATACCAGGTTAAAAAGTTTTAAAAGGCTGACTATGTGCATGTAGTTGTTCATTTTTGGCGAAGAGAAACGTTTTGAAGACTGAGAGATAATATTACAAACTTCTCATTGGTCATTTAAAACAAAAATATAGTGGAATGCGTGTTACGAAACTGCTAATAAGTTTTGCCGTCGAAGGCGGTCATGTTTGACACACCTTTGTAAAATCGAAGAGCTTCAGAAAGTCAATTCCATTGAAACCTCGACAAAACGGAAAATCATAAACCCTTGGGATCGATTACACTTATAACTGATACACGTTTCAAAATACAATGTTCATCTTGTAAGGATCGCATATTTAGTAGATGAAGTTCTGAATGATAATTTTTATTTGAATTTATGAAGTTCATATTACAACGCAAGAACAGAGAGACTTCGCCACTGAAAAGAGCGGGTGTGGGTGCGAGTTGATCTTCGCTCAACTCACACCCACATCAGTTGAAAACATTGATAGATGGATATATTCCAGTTAGGAGATGTTAGATTCCAATTTGTTTTCATTAAATACTATGATGGTATAAAATTATTTTCTTGTTTCATTGTGGTATAGTTATATTTATTTTTTTTCGGCTAATCAATGAATGAAATAATTTTTTTCATTCCTATTATGTTAAAAAGCTTGTCAACGCTGACCCAAAAGGGCTGAAATGTAGAACTGATTTATCTTTAGCTTCATTGTACTAATACAAGTACATTAACAAAAGAGCGATGATGATTTTAACAATAACAAGCGATCTACTAGCACAAGTTATTTCTTCTATCTTCACCAAAATGTTCATCATTACTATTAGGTAGTTTATTTTGTTTTGATGTAAATTTACTCATGAATTCAGAATCAAATAGTTGAACCAATCATAGAGAAGCAAATCATAATAAACGCACAACAAGATTTCGTTATCTAACGGTGAGATAAACATTTTTTACATTTAACAATTATTTTTCAATTTCTATAAGGAAGATTTTTTTTATAACACATATCCATAGAAGTGAGTGTTGAGAACAAGTTTTTTTTTATTAGAGAAAAAACTCAGCGAATCGATCAGTTGGACAGAATTATTTTCAAGATAGAACGATAATTTTTTTTTCTTCCTTGTACATCTTGACTGATGAAACATTTGCGTTCTTATATAAACATAGACGATATCACAAGAAAAAAAACCCATACCCAAACATTTTGTTGATGCAGTATAAAAACTATTTATAGTAATCATTGTGTCGTGTTGGAAATTTTTCAAAACTATAATCGATAAACATGTCGCATTTTGAAGACATAGAAAAACCAAGTAATGAAAGTGATGTAGAAATTGATGATAGCGAAGTAAGCAAATATTGTCAAGAATAATTATCTATTTATAATGATCATAATTCATACAGCTTGACGAAAATGAAGACGTATTTGCCGGACCAGAAAAGAATCTCAGTAAGTGATAATTAACGAGTGGTGTATTAAGAATTGGGATCGAAATATTATGGGAACATCTCAGGCTGTTTTTTACTTTTTAGCCTTGAGCTATTTACAAAAAGATTCGGTTTATAATTCTGCACAAACGACATGCTTTATTAAAGAAAAATTTTTCCAGAGTCTCTAGTTTTCTAAAGGTTTTCTTCGAAAAACACATTAGTCCGTATATCACCGCGATGTTTTTTTTCCCATTTTCTTTCAACTGTTACTCATTAAAACGAACTGTCGAATTACATGAGCTGGGAATGCATCGCGAGCAAAACCACAATGACATACAGATTAAACTGCTGTTCAAAAACAACCTTAGAAAAATGACGATTTTGAAAAATTCCAGTCGTGTCTTTTTTCAGTTTTAATCATAGACAAAAAAATATTTTGTTAAGCGGAACATATTGTTGTGCGCGAAATTACATACCGAATCTTCTGGTGAAAAGTTCAAAGCTGAGGAGTGAAAGCGGATCGAGATGTCGTCAAAATATGAAGACGACCATTTTTTATGTGACGCCCATTATTATACTACTGTATAACATTTGAATGTGTTTGTTGATATAGTGCCGGAACTACCATTTGAACAAGAAGTGTCTGAAAATGATATTCGATCGGTAATAGAAAAATTCGCACGAAATTTTGCCGAAGTTTATCCATCATCAGGACCGGCACTATATATGGGACCACTCAATGAAGCCATGAATCATTCATTAGATGATTCTGTCGATGTAGGTTTTGAATTATTTCATATTACAAATTGAAAATTTTTATTTTCCTTTTTTCTTTTTATTTACAGCGACGTCCTTTATTACTCTATTTACATCGAAATAGTACACCATCTACACATTTATTTTGTAAAAATATACTTTGTAACAATGAAATTATCAACTATATTGAAAGCAATTATCTTGTTTGGGCATGGGATTGTACAAGAGATGCTAATTATCAACGGTAAGTGAATTTAAAATTAAAACATAAAAGAATATCGCCATTGAAATCGACATGATTAGATTCGGATGATACCTTGTTTATGAATATCTATATTAAATTTTTTTAAAATAGGTTCCTATTGATGTTACTTGAACATGCTGGCCCCAATGTTACAGCAACAGTGGTTAAAATACCTATTGATGACTATCCACAGTTAATCTGTCTTTTATATGATCAAGGTCAAATTAATGCTATTAAAGTCATTTACAATTCTGACGACAGCACGTCTCCAGATGAAATATACATGCATCTTCTTAACACAAGAGAACAATTCAATTCTCCAATGGAGATAGTACACAATGAAATTCATAATCTTTCTGTCGTCTTCTCTGACAGTTGGTCACCTCCACCGAGTCAATTGCAGATTCTCGATCAACAAACAGATGAATTTCGAAATGTTGCTAGTTATTTTGCGGACAATCATTTTCGAATTGTTCATATCGAACGAATTGAAAATAAAACATGGCGTAAGATATATAAAGAAGAGAAGAAAACAATTGATAAACGCCTATGTTTCAATCAAACTGATTGTGTTCTTTTTCATGGTTGTCTACGAAAAGCTTCTGAAGAAATTTTACAACGAGGATTCAACACAAGAATTGTCGGTATACATGGTAAAACGAAGAAAAATTTATTGAAAAACATTTGCATCAATATTTTTCGTTATTCTAGGCACAGACTATGGTGACGGATTCTACTTTTCCACGAATCCAATGCGTAGTTACATGTATGCTTTGCCTGATCTATCACGATGGGGTGAACGAACAATGCTTGTGTGCCATGTTATCATTGGTAATACGCGCCATGACCATTCGATGATGGAAACCTATGGAATACAATACGATTCAGTCACCGATGGATCAGAAATTTATGTTGTCTCTTCAAATCGACAAATTTTACCGGAATATCGTGTCACATACAAATATATTTCGTGATCAATTGATTTTCATACTTCATATATAAACAAAACAAAAAAAAAACGTTTGTTGAATATACTTTCACTTGTAATGTGCATGTATAATTTAGTCAAGTTAAAATAAATTATATAGAATGAAAGCAAGACCTTCGTTTGCCTACGAAGACATTTAAGATGT